GCCTTGAAGGAGGAAAGGGAGGAGGCGGCGAAGGCACTGGGAGGTGGAGTTCCAGAGCCTAGGGGCTGAGAGGCTGAAGGTCCGGCCACCGATGGTAGGGTGGTTGGGGCGGGGGATGTGGAGCAGACCGGAGGGTACGGGCAGGTAAGTAGGGGGATAGAAGGTCGGAGAGGTTGGAGGGAGCAAGGCCGTGAATGGCCTTGTTGGTGAGGATGAGGATCTTGAATTCGATCCTCTGGGGGATGGGGAGCCAGTGGAGGCGAGTGAGGGTGGGAGTGATGTGGTCACGAAGCCTGGTGCGGGACAGTACACGAGCTTCAGAGTTCTGAATGACCTGCAGCTCGTGGAGGGAGGTGCCGGGAAGGCCGGCGAGGCCCATAGTCCAGCCTTGAGGTATCACTCCACTTAGCACATTTTTCTCCCAATGTTACAAGAGCTTGGGCCCAATAATCCCTAATAAAATTGCAGTTGTGATAACAGAATGAATGGACTGTGTCACTAAATATCTAATCAATTTAAGTAAAATTAAAGTAAGAGACTGGATACACAATTGATTTAAAAATACAGCAAACAAGGAGAAGACAAAGTAAGTAAGAATCTTTCAGGCTGGAAAGAGATTTTAATCAGAATTGCACTGAACTCTTGCAATTCTGTCCTGTAAAATTAGCTATTTTTAATATGCAGTGAGACTCGAACAATATTGTGTACAAGCGTATGGAAAGATAAATCTTCCACATTTGCAGATGCGATTCAATACAGAAAGAAAATGTGAAGTTGTGCACTTTGAAAGTAAGAATAGGGAAGAAGCAGTAAAATACACCTTAAATGGTAATATGTTATACGGAGCAGAGGAGCAAAGCGACCTTGGAATGCAGATAAAGGAGTCATTAAATGAGGCAGCCCAGGCAGATAAAGCCATAAAAAGTCAAATGGAATCCTTGGTTTTATATTCAGAGGCATGAAATATAAAAACAAGAAGCTAATGCTGAACTTGCAAAGCACCTTAGTTAGACCATAGATTCACTGGGATGTTACCAAGAAGAAGCGGTTTTGGTTATGAAATGTTTGGGTTTTTTTCTCTGGAGCTTAGAGTGTTAACAGCTGAAATCTTCTAGATTAGAAAGGCAAGGATAAAACAGCAATTGATTATTTCCAATGCTTGCTTAGTCAGTAATGGGAAGGCACACATTGAATTAAATGTGTGGTTGGACCCAGGTTTAGATTCTGCCCAGACTGATGGGATCTACCTCTCCCCTGCTTGTTGGTTGTGTAAAGTTCCAATGTAAAATTTACTGGGAATTCTGTTCAGAGAAGCCACGAGGTGTGACATCTGGTGTGGAAAATTGAAAATGTCAGTATGCAGAATATTGAGGTTCATACTGAGGAGAGTTTCATTTTGCATATAACTCATGTTATAATAAAATCAATATCCTTGCATTCGATATTACACCTTTTACAATGGGAAGATGTCTCAAAGTGCTTCATAGGATTTACTGTGAAGTGTAGTGACTGGGCACCTTTCAGGTGAAATCTTAAGCCGGACTTGAGGCTGCTTTGACGCTCACACTGGGTACTGAATTGAGATAATGTTCCATTTCCCACTGCTGCATCTCTCACCTTGATAAACACAAGATTCAGTATGAAGAAACAAAGGAAGCCCTCCCATGTCCAAACCTGATGAAATCTGTGGTGACAGACAGTAAGGCTCCTCAGGGACTGCAAATTCCAATATGACAGGGCTGAGAGTGAGTAATTTGAGCACTCTGTGACTAAAATAGCTCTTGTGTTTTTACACTCAGTGACCATTCTTGTTGCTTTTTCTTTACTGGACAATTACCATGTGGCCAGGCCAATAACTGACAATGCAGGTGGCTTAGCAACCGATTAAGCATCACACAAACCGGTTCTGTGTCCGCTGCAATATTTGTATTTCTGCCCACTTTCACTCCAAATGCACATTTTTCATTCCCACTGGCTGCCTTTCAGGTTTTAGTTCAGCTGCCTTATAAACTACAGCCTGTTGTTGCTGTGCCAGAGTCTGTAGTTCTGAGCATCCAGCCGTAGTTATTAATCTTGAGCAGTTGGACTAACTGCAAATGCCAGCAGTTTTTTAGAAAGTGCTCATTAGAGTGAGTGTTGACAATGCAGTCAGGCTAAACATCATAAACAGCAGCTGTGCCAGTGTCAGATAGTACCTAGTAGTGGCTTTGTCACCCCTAAATCGATGATCATATTAAACAGTATTCTGCTCTGACAGACCAAAAGCTTTCTGATTGTTGCTCCCCTAACTCTATATTGTTCAATGACTTGTCTGAGGATCAGTACTAATCTGTCCTAACTACACAGCAAGTCTGTACCAGAGAGCTCTTTAGATTGAATGATATGACAGGCTCATTTACTAATGGTCTACCCAATTATAAAAAAGAAACTGAGCCCGACCTTATGTCAGAGAGACACTGCCCTAAGTGATTACATGTAACCAATCATTCTCCAGATCCTCTGGTATCTTTTGGTGAAATAAAATTACTCTCTTTAACTTCACTCAACTTTCCCTCATCCTCATTTTTCTTTTTGCTATTTTTTGTGCAGTTATTTTTGTGTGATGTTTTATTCACATTTCCTGCAATAAGATGCACAATTCATTTATTGTGCTTTCAAGTCTTCCCTGACTGTCTTGTCTCTGTTACTTTATTGTCACTTGCTTGTTTGGTTTTGTATTATATTAATTAAGTGTGGCATGTGTGCAGCTTTAAGAGCCTTTCAAACACTGGATTCTATTCTCAAATCCCAGACTCCACTTCCACCCCCATTGTGCAGAGTTTCTGCTGCAAACCTGAGCTTCACGAGTTGCCCTGTATTCAAATATATACATACTGACAGGTTAATATGATTTGATATGACTTCCAGCGCATTGTAAAACCAAAGCTACTTCTTATTTTCAGAGGTGGCTGGGGTGGAATGGCTACTCACGGTGTTAGTGAATCAAGGACTGACCTACATCGCCCTCCCCCATCCCATCACAACATGGAAAAAACATTTTCAGAGATTTCAGTGGGATGACAGTCTCTTCTATTGTACTTTCAAGATAAACAAGATTGTAAGCTTCCTACCGCATCAATGTACCTTTTGTGATGTGGCCCACAACCAGCACCATCTGGCCAACTAGCTCCAGTGAGGCTATTAACCACAAACTGCTGTTCCCTCCAAGGCACCCGGACACAGCAATCACTCGAAAATGACGTACTGCTGTCTTACATGCACTGTTTGCTAATGCTAGTGAATATTTTATTTTGCACTTATTATTAAGAACAAGAAACTGCACAACTTATGCTATGCTAATATTAGTGCTTGGATCAGTTGACTTAGCGAATAGGGTGTGTTGACACCTTATTGTCTTTATTCTGGCACTTAAATGGATTTTCACCCATAATGAAGTACAGTCCGAGAGGAAAAGTATAGGAGCAAAATCTGCAATCTTTTAAGCATTCTTTGTCTTAATTTATGTTGGCAAAAAGGATCAGTTGAATTGAGCAGTTTTTTTGTTTTGCAAATTGTAGCCCCGAGAATGATGTTTTCTTGGCTTAATGTTTAATTTTTAGAGCAGAGATGACACTCCCATTCTCCTCTGCCAAAGGTTATGCTTTTACCAATCATCAGGCCTGAGCTCATGAGGAGTGTGCTACCACCTACATGTAATTCTTGCTAGTATCAAATAACACAGGGAATGTTTAAAAGAAATCACAAACTTTACCCTGTAGAGTGAAGCTCACTGTAGTTTTAATAAACATTTGCTCTGTTACTCCATTCTCAGCACTTACATTTCATCAGTGGTTTCTTAATTGATCAAACAAAACATCCACCAATTGTCTTTAAATGTTTAAGTGAATGTCTCAGAGACAAGTGGCACAAGAGCAGCCTTTATATTTTATTTAATTGGTCCTGAGTTTCCAAGATTCCCCCCTCTCCCCCTGAGAATATTTCACTTGTACAGTTGTATTTAGCAGGAGTATTTTGTTGCCATCTAACATGACTTGCTACAAAGAATCAAAGGCCTGAGAAGCAATATCAATGTCTATGCAGTGTGTTCACCAGCTACATCACAAAGAAGGCTTTTCAGTGTTGAGAGAAAGCAACTCTTAGGAGATCTTGTAGAGGTGTATATAATTTAAATGGGATTGAAAAAGTAAACCCAGAACAATACTTTGGGATGTACCACATCAGTAGAATTGGTTTAGAATTGCAAAGGACAATTTCAGGACAGACACCAGGAAGTGTTTCGGCACTCAGAGGGTGATTTATGACTGAAACAGGTTGCCAGGGTGGTTGAGGCCAGGGCACTGGATGCATTTAAAAAGCTGTTTGATGCTGTGATAGGAAGATAGGAGGTGGGTGGTCTGAAGTGATGAGATCAGATGGGCTGAAAGGCTTTCTTCATCCAAATCAATCTTGTGATCTCGTGAACATAGTATAGCATATTTAATATGATCATTTAGAAACTGAAATGGGTATTTGTCAGAATATAAATAATTTCCTGATGAAAAAACATTGGTTGGCAAACTAGGCATCCAACATCAGAGGCCTGACATTTCTCATTGCCTTAAATCGTAAGACTCTGCAGAAGCTTAGAAAATTCTTAAATGCAGTCTCTATTTTGAAACTGTTTTTTCATAGTTCTTTTTAAGAAATCAGAAAAAATGGCTTCTATATTAAAACTGAATGTAAGGATTTTCTAAAATGCACCATGTTGAATTTTGATGCAATGTTTTTAAGGCTAGGAACCATGAGAATTTCAGGCCTCTGAAATCTAGTAATCTACCATTTGGGCAGTATCTCTCTCCTACTTAACTCAAATATCCCAATTCACACTGATTTATACCTTAGGGTGAAAAATGGATCATTAATTTAAGCAGTTATCATTGTACTTTGTCCGAACATGACTTGCAAGCGATTGATTATCAGGAATCTGTGGATGTGGGACAGTATATCCAGAGAGTACTTACTGTCATCATTCCATCCAACAGTCCTGATTCAGGTTTGGGTGGTGCCTGCAGGCGTTCCATTGACCATTTATCAATGACAGATGCAATGTGTGGATTGTCAATGTTCAGGAGACGAAACCCTGTCATATTGACCCCACTATACCGATAGGGCTCCAGGTTCAGTGCAAACAGATCCTAGCAGGCAGAAAGCAAAAGGAGAGAAATTTCAATCAACACCACATAAGTAATAGCATAAAAACTATTGTACGTTTTCAGCTGAGATAGCTGAAAAATAGCTTTGGGATTGCAACTCTTTCCATTTTTAAAAAATCAGATTTTTGAGCAAATCTTGAAATTTCGGTTACAAACTAAAAATTTGAAAGTGGAGGAAGTTGTGAACATCTTTGCAAACGTTGCAAGTTAGAACTCACTAATCAGTACTTACAATGAGATTCTATATCACTGAAAATATCCTTTTTCCTTTTTTTTCTGGGTGAAGTAGTGTTGGATTGAGGTCAGTTGTGGGGAATGGAACATTTTCCATGTTCTTGTACTTAGCACTCACATCTCAGAGGCAGTCAGCATTAAATACAGACTAAAGCTCCCTCGACACCACCACTAAGTGTGCTTTATGGAAGCATCTTTAGTTGTACCAGTGTGATTATGCCCACTTTGCACAGTAACCATCCTCAGAGCCTTGTAGACTGTGGCTGTCAATTTTGTGACAGATTATGAGCAATTTATGAGCAATTGTGAACTGTGGACTCACACTGGGGTGAAGCTAACCTGAACTCATTTCACTTAGCAATCTTGCTACTGCCAAAAAGGGCTGGCTTAAAATCCAAGTTCCAGAAATAAAAGGAAGTACTTCAACACTCTGTGACTTACAATCTATTTTTTATACTGCAGAGAGCACCAAAATTCAGTTTGTGGGCATTTTAATAGTTAAGAACTCCACAGAACTGCAAAAACATTCAGTAATTTACATAAAATCCTACAACATTTTTCTTTTTTAGCAGAGATGTTGTTGTGATCTTCAAAAAGTTAACCATACATCAATTGCACTGGTGTCAACCTTCACCAGCGACTGCCAAAAGCTAAAGAAACAACAAGCAGTGATATGACAAGAAGAATGAAAAACACGAGGTATGTTTTAATTTTCATATATTCTGAAAGGACTGCAGGTTAGTTATTATTTTCAGGGAGGTTTGGTTGACCTTCCAGCCGATTTATTGTTGGGCCTGAGTTGATGATCAGAAGGGTATCAGTATATCAGCCTAATAGGTTTACGAGCAGAATCTGTAATATATCATCACCACATAGCAGTGTGCACACTGGGGCTACAGCATAACTGCATTTTGTGTAGTATCTAATACAAAGCACCAGTAAGTTAATGGTATTTTAAGGGAAACTAACAAAGCAAAGACATCTCAAACTTCCAAATGCAGTATTCTTATAGGAGGGCCATTAATTTCATTTTGTTGAAAATGAACTGACAAACATCGAATACAAACTAGTTTGTAACTGATGGTTTACAGCATTACCAACAGAAAATGCATGGCAGATATTTGTGGGACCCAATATTGAACATAGGCTTGTGTGTGCCTTGCAATAGATACATCAGGGCTAGTAAGGAACTGTTTTGTCTGCGGAGCCCCAGGTGGATCATTGCGTGCAAATGCTGTGAATTCTACAAGCCAGGGCAGTGAGGAGATCATTCCAGCTGAAGTCACTGGTGTTTTTGTCTCAGCAGCTGGGCGTCTGACACTTGCGAAAAACAATCACCATCCTTAAAAGTATCCAAAGTAAACTGAGGTTTCCATGTATCCCACATACACATGGAAATCCCAGAGATAGATTGTTGGAATGGAATGTGCACTCTGTCCCTGGAGGGACACATCCTGCTTACATAATTCTGGAAAGTATTAAGCGCAGGTTGGCAAGAGCCAAGGCTTGGGGATCCCAGAGTGTGCGTTGGGGTACTGCTGGAGTCTAACCAACTAAACCTACATAGCTTGTCATTGATATTGTTGTCTGGCAAGCTTTCCCACTGCTTGATCAGCTAGGACCACCATAACTATTAGGGCTTTGGCTTACAGGGTTAACAGGAGCTGAGTGGTATGATTCCCTGCCCCAGTGACTGGTCTGCCCTTCCAGGTCCTGCTGATGAGCCAGGTTGGCTGTGCTGTCATCAGCAGTGCCTTGGTGTCTGGTACAGGAGTGAGGAAAATGAAGAGAATAATTTGTTGTGGTTTGTCGTCTTTATTAATTCAGGAGACAGTATTCATCACTGATATGTGGGTACATGTGAGAGACAGAGAGACAAACAGTTATAAGAGAAGACAAAATTCTGTCTCAGGGCCTACTTGTTAAATAATGTAATATTTATTGCAACAACAAAAATAACTTGCATTTATATAGAGCCCCTCACGCAGTATAGCTTTCCAGAGTTCTTGACAGTGACAGAGCACAATGCCTAACCGGGGGTAGGGAGAGGTGACCGTAGGCACAGTTGAAGAGGAAGGTCTTCATGCAAGACTTGAACATGAGGAAGGAAGGGGCAAGGCAGAGAGATAGAGGAAGAGTGTTCCAGAGTTTGGGGGAATAGTGGCGTAAATACAGTCTGAGGCAGGCAATGTGCCGAAAGTGGAGGAAGGCAGTTCTGGTTAGGGACCGGATATGGGGAAGGAAGGACAGCTGTCTAGGTTGCGCACTGGTTCGGTAAGTCTGAGGGATAGGCCTGGGAGGTTGAGGAGGTCAGAACCGCAGGATAGAAGACATTGATAGGAGCCAATGGAGTCCTGTAGCTCAGTAGTTAGAGCACTCGCTTTGCAAGTGAGAGACCTGAGTTCAATTCCAGGCAGGGCGAAACCTTGGGCAAGTTTCCTTACTCCACACGCCTAATAATAATCCCTCCAAAACCAAAAACAATAATAAATTGGTCATTTTCAATCTACGACTGTTTGTGGGACATTGCTGTGCGCAATTGGCTGCCGCGTTCGCCCACAAATATACAGTCAATTCACTTTACAGTGTGTTCTGTAAAGCGCTTTGGGACGTCCTCCCGACGTGAAAAGCGCTATATCAAATGCAAGGATTATTATTATTATAATGAGTATGGCTTCCGTCTTGTCAACATTTAGTTGTAAGTTTTCACTCATCCAGACCCTGATGTCCACCAGATAACTTGAGAGAACATCATTGGACCTGGAGTCACAGCTGGAGGAGAAGAATTAGAGCTGTGTGTCATCCGCATACATGTGGAAGTTTCCGGATGACATCGCCAAGAAGGAGGATATAGATGAGGAAGAGAAGGGGGCCAAGGATGGAGCTCTGAGGTATGACACAGGTGACTGGGAAAGGAGGCAGAGGGAGCTCTGGTCACAGAGAGAGAGAGAGGTCATTTGTCACCTTGGCAAGCACCACCTCTGTGCTGTGGGCAGGGTGAAAACCAGACAGGAGGGGGTCGAGGAGGGAGTGGAGGCAGAGGTGTGAGCAAAGCTGGTTAGCAACAACATGTTCCAGAGCTTTGGCAGGAAGAGCAGGTTGCAAATGAGACAGTCATTTGTGAGGTTGGAGGGGACAAGAATGGTCTTTTTTGAGAAGGGGATGACAACGGTTTTAAGGGGGAACAGGAACAGAACTTGAGGAGAGCGACTGGTTGACTGTGTCAGCCAGCAGCAGGGAGAGGAGGGGGGGTTGGGGGACCAGCAACTGGAGGGAGTCTAGACAGCAGGTGGTGGGCTTCATCTGGGAGATGGTGGTTGAGTGTGAGGTGGAAGTAATCGGGGCAGAGGAGTGACAGACGGGAGAGTGGTAGGAGCCGTGGTGGAAGAAGGGGGTGGTGAAGATGGTCTGGGTGTAGAAGGGGACATAGGGGAGGAGGATGCAGCCAAGCAGGTATTTTCAACTTTTGACACGAAGACGTCTAGGACCTCTTCGACTTGGCATTTGAAGTGAGGACAGAGGCAATTTAGGGGGGTGCACAGAGGAGATGATGGATGGTGGAGAACAGTGCTTTTTGCTCCAAAATCGTTTTGGGGTGCGAGAGGAAGAGGCAGTAGTTGCAGAGATCCTCGAGCCAGAGTTGGTGGTAAATTGTGAGGCCGGATTTGTGCCATCTGTGCTCGAGCATCCGGATTTTAGTTTTGAGGGAGTGGAGGTGACTGTTATACCAGGGGAAAGGGTAGATTTGGAGACAGACCTGGATTTCAGGGGGGCAAGGGAGTTGAGGGTTACAGAGAGGCCATCATCTCACAGCTTGACCATTGCTTCTGGATCTCTGTGAGTGGAAGTCCAGAGGGAGAAGAGATCTAAGGAAGAGGTACTCGGTGGAAGCTATTTCCAAGGTTGTAAAAAGATGGTGGAGGGCTTGGAAGAGGGGAGGCAGATGTGGGAGGAGATGAGGAAATGGCCTTGTCAGTGATGGGCAGATCGGAGATGACAAGGCCGTGAGTGATAACAAGGTCGAGGGGATGGTCATGGTTGTGGGTCGGGGAGTTTTTGTGGAGGGTAAGGTTTAATAATAATAATCCTTGCATTTGATATAGTGCTTTTCACATCTTCTAGATGTCTCAAAGCAACAACAACAACAACAACAAGATTCCATTTATAAAGCGCCTTTCACGTCAGGAGGACGTCCCAAGGCGCTGCACAGTTGGGTCATGACCCGAGCTGGGGGGAAATGGTCAGGGTGAGGGAAGGGAGGGAGCAAGGAGGGGGAAATGGTCAGGGTGAGGGGAGGGAAGGGAGGGAGCGAGGAGGGGGAAGAGAGTCGAGAGGGGAGCTGAAGGCACGGTCAAAGAGAAAGGTTTTGAGACCGGCCTTGAAGGAGGAAAGGGAGGAAGCGGCGAAGGCACTGGGGGATGGAGTTCCAGAGCCTGGGGGCTGAGAGGCTGAAGGCCCGACCACCGATGGTAGGGCGGTTGGGGCGGGGGACGTGGAGCAGACCAGAGCCAGAGGAACGGAGGGTACGGGCAGGTAGGTAGGGGGATAGTAGGTTGGAGAGGTAGGAGGGAGCAAGGCCGTGAATGGCCTTGTAGGTGAGGATGAGGATCTTGAATTCGATCCTCTGGGGGATGGGAAGCCAGTGGAGGCGAGCGAGGGTGGGAGTGATGTGGTCCCGAAGCCTGGTGCGGGACAGTACACGAGCTGCAGAGTTCTGAATGACCTGCAGCTTGTGGAGGGAGGTGGCGGGAAGGCCGGCGAGGAGAGAGTTCCCATAGTCCAGCCTTGAGGTGACAAAGGCGTGGACCAGAGTTTCAGCAGCGTGAGGGGTGAGGTAGTGCCGTAGTCAAAGCAGTTCACAGAATATACTGTAAAGTGAATTGACTATATTTGTGGGCGAAATGCGGCAGCCAATTGCGCACAGCAGTTTAGTGTGGAGGAGGGATGTGAAGTCAGAGAAGATAGGGTGAGGGGAGTTCAGGTGAAGGTTGAAATCACCGATTATGATAAGGAATTCAGTGCAGAGGCCAGAGGGATGGGAGGAGGGGGGAGATGTCAGGGATGAAAGAACCAAGCGTTTTGAGAGGACAATAAATGATGAGGGTTTTGAAGGAGAGGAAGGGATGGTACCGGGTTAAGTGTTCAAAAGAGGGGAAGGAGCTGGAGGAATATGGGGATAGAGTGAGGGAAGTTTGGGAGATGAGGGCCACCTTGCCGCAAAGTTGGTTGGGGCTGGGGGATGTAGTGAAAGATGTAGGCGGGAGTGGGGAAGCTTAGAGATTGAGGGATCAGTGTTGGGGTATCCCTAATACTGTCTCTGCCCACATTTATGCTTATGAGAAGGTAATAATTATTGGTGTGCAAGAGAGAGAGAGAGATTATGGAGAGAGAGAGAGAATTGAGTGGGATCAGAATTCTGTCTCTTGAACTACCAGTCCAGTAGAGAGGATATTGATTATCAATGTGTAAGCAAAAGGGAGAGAGTTAGTTGAACGCTCAGAGGGAGAGTTTATCTCTGTTCCCACTACAGAGAGGTTAGCTGTGTAAATCTCTTCAGCATTTTATATTGCAAGAACAGTCTCATGAAAAACACCTCTGAAATGAGTTCATCAGAATTATAATAGAATATTGTCTCTGAGGTAATAAATCAAAGCTGGGCTCCTTCATTTCTAAAGTCTGGCTCAAATAAAAAATGAGTCAGTTATATACTCATCACAAAGGAAGTGACATCAATAGTACTCCTTGTGCATAATATGCACATATAGCGTGCAGGAAGCAATGTCAGTGGCGATCTGATGGCGCGGAAGTAGCCTTTTTTATAACTTACTTATAGGATTTTGGGAGGTCCTCCTGATGTGAAAGGCACTAAATAAATGCAATTTGTTGTTATGATCTAACCTCTGAACTATTGGACCCAGAGGACCACATTATAATAAGATTCCCTTGTACTTCCTGGGGTCTGTCCTGTAAAAGACCTTTACAATCCTGAACATGTCTCGACAAACAAGCTGTGCTGATAATGGAAGAAGCATTCCAATTTGTTTAGCATTGCAGTTCTGATGAGGACATAGCTGAAATATTAACCTGCCTTTCTCTTTCAGATGATGATTCACCTGATGCAGATTTCCAGCATGTTTAGTTCTTAACCCAGATTTCCCAAGGGAAAGATTTTTCCATGCTCTGTTTGGCAGCCTTCCTGGTTCTACCCTCCAGAGCCTTTGGTAAAATTCCACAGCCTAAGTTCTCCCCATCTTACAGGGCAGGACGAATAGATTGGAGGTAATATTATAACTGAGCACACTTATTACCATAATAAATGGAATTTAAAATTCTACAATTTCTGAGTTGAAAACGTGCAGCACCAGTCAGCACCCAACCAACAAGAATCTCCTTAGACCCACTGAGACTTGCACTTTGCATTTTCTTCCTTTCCCTTTGAGCCAGCAGAATGTTTGAATATTAAAGTGGTGTGCTTAGTAGCAGGACGGCAAAATAACTGTGACAGCAGTGATAATTGCTTCTACTTCCTAAGACCTTAACACCGTAATATCAACACACAGCAAAATCCCAGGAGTAGTTTGTAAAGCTTTTCTTTAAAAATGCTGCCTTACCAGTGTGGTAAAAAAGTAGTGGTAATACTCAGTCATCATTCCCATTGAGAGGAGCTGCAAAGTGAACAAACTGGTGTTAGAGAGCATTAAATAGAAAAGGATGCAATCAAACCTCAGTTACATCAACTGGTCTACAGCTGAATAACACTTCCTGTGGATGAGCTATGGTTATAGATAGCAGAGTTATTGATTTTTTGGAGACAGTTATTGAATCCAGGTGAGGAATGCATTTGTAATAACATTGTTACAAAGATTAAGACCCAAGGAGTGCAAAATTACAAGGAAATAATTGTGTAGAAGTTTTGGAAAATGCAGGTAATGACTGGTGGTTTTGTGCAATGTTTTGCTCATTTCTCATAGAGCTTGACCAGTGTTCAGTACTAACCTGGCCTTTCAGTCATCCGTTTCACTACAAATGCTATGTAACCATTTAACTACAGAATCAGGTTTAAAACACACACACACATTTTCTGTTCAGTAGCAACTATAAAATAATTTTCTGTTTGGTTTTAAAACCGAATATTATCAAGAATTGGAGAAATTATAGGATTTGTGCACTAAATGTTGTGACAGACTGCAGTTTTATTTAATAAAAATTCTCTCAATCAAATGTCAGGCTTTCAAATGAATCAACATATCAGTAAATGTATTGAAACTAAGTTGAATATATATGAACATAAGAAAACTAATATATTGTATTAGAAAAGACCAATTCGTTATCCAGCCCTTGGCTTCTCAAGCCACATAATGTACTCTATCATGAACTTCATCTACTCAATGTTCCCCTGGGGACAGTGATGTACGTCTTACCATTGATGGCTTCACTCTTAATCCTTCTTCATCTATTGACATTTTCAGCCGCAGTATCTCTTCTGATTTCACATGGAATTCTCACATCTCCTCCACTGATTGAACCAAAACTGCCTCAAAAACCGCTGTGGCTTCCCTTTTGTGCCAAACATTTCTTTATCCTGCAACAATTCTTAACTCTCGACAAGCCAGAGGCTGTCCTAGACTTCAATTCTGTTCCTTGCTCCTAAAGATTTAAAGTGATCCCTTGTAAATCAGAGCTAAATCATTCTTGTTATTCTTCTCTAAACCCTCTTCTCTCTCTTCAATGCCCTTTTGCTACTCAACAATTGCCCACAGTATTCACAACGTGGCCTCAACAATGATGTAAAAAAATATTTGACCCCAGAATTAACACATCTTCCATCTCTTGATCTTTCATATCTCTTCCTAGATTATCTCTTAGAAGACTGACCTGTTCTTTAATGTGACCTCTGTTGATAACAAAGCTAAAAGATTTATTTTGCTCCTAGTGTTGCTGTCTGTAATCTGTTTTCCTATTGTTCTCTCACTTCCTCTGATACTCCTTTCAGTTATCCTCAATTGATCTTTATGGGGCTCCCAGTTCCTGCTTTTTTTGTTCTGTTGTACCTTTTATAACATTTCTGTTTGGCCTTTAGGCTGGTTTTGTTCTCATTATTCTGTGGTTTAACTCTTTTTAATCTATGCTCAGTCCTGTATTGCATTTTCACATTTCTTAAAATGCCTTTAATAATTTTCCATTTTTCTCCTACGGTTTTAATTTTTGATCAATAAACTATAAGAGGTCTGGAGATTCATTTCACCTGTTTCAACATCCCGGCAGCCGTTTCATATGTGCAGTCAAATATCACATAGAATTCCTTCCCCCTTTTCATCTCCTTCAGAAGAGGCTTGGGATCCCTGTTATCTGTTGGCAACTGGCGAATTTTTATTTTAATGTTATATCTGGAGGGGGCTTTCATTAATTCCTGTAAGCGAATGAGACCTGGGAAGTGGGGGTGGGTAGTAGGAGAAAAACAGCACATTGCAGCACAGTTAGAAATTGTGCAACTTGAATGATCTCAATGAAGGCATTCATTTGCCTCACATTTCTGTTGAATGTATAATCATGAATTAATTAAAATCATTTCAATATTATAATTTATGTGCACTATTCTCACCGTCAGTACTGATTTGCAACATTCAGGGGTAAGTTTGCAACATTTCAAAACAGATTCAAACACAAAGCTGATTATTATTATTACATTTGATTATCACATCAAATCTGTTGGACATATTTAGCCTGAGACAGAGGCTTGGAGATCTTAACAGTCCTGAATATACAGATTTCATGATCAGCATCCACAGCAACAATTTACATTTTTACAGTGTCTATCATATCCGGAGGACATCTCAAAGCGCTTGACATAACTGACTGGGAGCTTGAGCTGGGGGAAGGCTGTGTTGGGGGGTGGTGGAGGATGAAAAGGGGGTGAGGCAGTCCAAAGTACTTTCAAAGAGATAGGTCTTGAGTCGTGTTTTATAATAATAATAATTCTTGTATTTGATATAGCGGGGAGGGGAGGGGCAATGAGGATGGATTTCCTGTGAGCGGAGGAGCAGAATCTAAATTTGGAATCTAAAATTGAACAACTATAGAACCGTAGAACTTTACAGCATAGAAAAACATTAGGCCCATTATGTCTGTGGTACCATCATAACTCAGCCAGTATCCTGTAGAGCAGCTCTCAGATGCTGACTGTTGGCTGAAAAACTGGTATATTTTGTTCTTCTATCTAGTTCCAAGTTTGTGGACAATATTTCTAAAATGAATGAATTATTGACTAACATCCTGCCGTTTCATAATAAATTCAACGTCCTGTTCAGACTGATTGTTATAAAACATTGCAAATTCCACGCATACACTCGCAACTCGATGAGAATCCTTGGTAAATATAGAGGCAGCTATTTCTAACTGCATGTTTCACTTATTTTCTGAGCCTACATACCAATAGTCTCCATTGATTTCATTGAATTCAAAAGTAGAACTGGAAAAAAAATGAGTCACCATTGCTGCTCTTTGTGTGTCTTAATGCTCAGTATTGTGACAATTCCCTGTTCAATGTTTGAGAACGAGGGTTGTCCCCGCAGACAAGCCCCAGTCCCCCCAAACTCTTCTAGGCGCAAATTGTCAAAGAACAATATGGACTTGAACCATGTCTTCACAACCATCCAAGCAAGTCAGGTGACTGGATGGCCTCCTTGGCAGGGCAAGCCCGGCCTGAGCCTAGTGACTAAGTACTCAAGTGAGCTGTGAGTTCCAGTATTTCTGCTTCCTCTTTGTGAGGGCAGATCAGAAATACTGCAATACCGATCCCAACCAACAGAGGGCTGAAACCAAAGCTGTAACCAGGAGCTCAATCCTTCCCATAATAATCCGGTTATGGTAACCAACACACGCGAATCTCAAGCAGAAGATGAACCTTTCCAGCATTGCTAGCTCAAGAAGTAACTGATGTGAACAGAAACTACACTCGATCTTAGCCAAAAGGCCGAGAAGTGATTTATAAATATAATATTTGGTACAACAGAAATCCAATACAAACACAACATACAACATCTGTTACAATTTTCCCCTTACTCCCGATGCCGAAAAGTGATGGGGTTAGCACTGATGAATTGTAAAATCCTGAACAGCGTGAGCTGGCTTCACTTTGTGTATTGCTCAGACTGATCCTCATCCCTTCAAACTCACAGTGTGCTTAAATTTATGCTACTAGAGCTTCAAATTGAACCATTAAATATTAGCTCAGTTAACGAAATTGGTGGCATTTGGAGTCTGATTTCTTGTAAAACAACAAATACAGAAATTTAAAAGAAATTGAATCAATAATGCAGGACTCATGGAAGCGTGGACCAATCAAACCCGTCACATAGAAGTGAGTTCACTGTTCATCCTCAGTCTTGTAGTGCCATGGCTAAGTTTAATTATTCACAGCCTAGAACCCCGCTGGCATCCATGAGATATTTTACATTTCATCATCTGTGAAACTGGCCTTGGAAAGAGTTAACGCACTGGGAACCTATACCATTCAAGAAACCTGGGATTTCCGAGAAACAGATTTTTAAAATTAGAAATAGTGAGAATAAAAAGATAGGATTTTTGTGACGCATAATTATAATGGGGGAATCCTATTAGAGGTCAATATCTTCAATGCCCTAATGCGTAATATTGCACAGAATTGCCCTCCAGATTGCCCAATATTTTTCAGGGGGACCTTTCAGGCTGAATGAAATAGATTCATCGATTTCAAGACACACAGTCTGCATCCCGGATGCTGAAGTAGCTGAGATTGATAGATCTATTGACCTTTTAGCATTGTGCAATTGAGTGACACCTTTACTCTTGAGAATCATGTGCCTCTTCCCCTGTCCATTTCGGGATGATTTCTCATGTACTTTGTCCCTAGACATCAGAGGACTGTTCAATTTGTTTGTTTTGAAGACCTCAGACCATCTGTCTCTACAAAGGAGCATTACTTGAATGCCAGACCTTATAGTCAGCAGAGTGTGAAGTGTTTCAAACTGCAATGCAATGAAACCCAGGTTGCATAGTTAAAAGGATGAGTGTTAGGAACATAGACTAATGGTTATGAATCTCAAATCCCCCTCATAGTTAATCTATATTATAATCTATATTAACTATATCAAGCGCTCTGAGATGCCGTCCGGCATGAAGGATGCTATATAAATCCAAGTTGTTGTTGTTATATTACTGCACATTCTCTTAGGAAACATCTATTCAGCGATAACAAGTTTGACCATTGTTCACATAACTACTCTGTAATCATTATTAGTCTTCTTTCACCATGTTTCAAGTGTTCAAGTGGATGTCAGTCTGGTGGGTCATTTGGTAGCTCTCTCACCTCAAAGTTAGAGGGTTGTGGGTTCAAGTCTTATGTCAGGACTTTGACCTGAAAGCTTAGGTTGACACTCCAATACAGTGTTAGGTGAGAGCTGCATTGTCGGAGATGCCATCTTTTGGATGAGATGTTAAACTAAGATTGTTTAGATAGATGTTAAAGATATGTGGTGCTAATCAAAAAGGTAAGGGAATTTCTCCCAAAGTCCTGACCAATAATCTTCCAGATAAAATCCATCGTTCACTTCATGGCTGTTTGTGGGACATTGCTGTGAGCAAAATGGCCACCACATTTGCCTATGCAGTCGCTGTAGCTTGCAATAAATCACGTGAAGCACTGTGACAATGTCTTACCAATGTGAAAGGAGCTATATCAAAGGTTATTATTATGATTATTCTCATCATTAAGATTATAGTTAACCTGCCTGGGAGCTAAACCTTTTAAGTTGGGCGTATAAAACATACAAAGGGTGAAGACTTTGACCTATGATGTTTTAATTATCACTTACACCGTTGATGACTGTGTTCAAAGAGGCCTATTGATAATGAAAGACTGATCACATGTGTGCACCCCTCCCCCTCCTCCACGCCCAAAAGTTAATCTTTAGTTATCGACCAAACTCTTTGACTACATTTTGGCATTCAGATCAGTGACAATTAATAAATACCTGATCGTAATTTACACTATAAATACTTATGAATATTTAACGAATAATAAAAATGATTGATAATAGACACTGGTGCTGGTAAAACGATTTAGCATATTCTGGATCACCATTCCATTCATTTCTTAAACCCAGCATGTGCCACAATATTTTTTCAATGCATGAACATACAATCTAATATAGCACTTACTGTAGATGCAAGTTCATTTAAATGAAGAAAAAGTGAGATCACTCATCCTTGTTATGCAGTTTTACTCCATGTTAAAGGTTAAAAAATCAATCACTATTTTTTGCTCATTTGCAATTTAATTGATGTTTTTTTTGAACACCAAAGGATCAGGTAATTGAGCAGGTCAGTTATTCCTGGGCAAAGAATACAGATTAGCAGCAAAACCAATTAGGAAACCGGGAGATAAAAAAGAAAAACTGCAGGTTCTGGAAATCTGAAATAAAAGCAGAAATTATCAAGGCCGGAATAGAATTCTAGATCTGCATTCACATGCAGTGGATTTCAAATGTTTCTCTTTTTATAAAAAATGGAATGATAAAATATCTTTTATTCCATCATGTGTAAGTCTGACTCAGTTGGTATCCTACTTGTCTCTGAGTCAGTTAGTTCAAGCCCCACATTAGGACTTCGAACTCAGTCTCGGCTGACACTCCAATTCAGTGCTGGAGGTGCCACCCTTCACGGAATATACCAAGGCCCCATTTGATAGATTTCTTGTGGATAAATGGATTAAGGGATATGGGATAAGGCAGGTAGGTGGAGTTAGAATAGATCAGCCATGATCTCATTGAATGGCGGGGCAGGCTAGAGGGGCCAAATGACCTACTCTTATGTTCTTATGTATGTTCTTGCCTGTTCAGGTTAGAAATCCCATGGCACTAATCGAAAAGAGATTGGAGACATTGTTTAAATACTCAAATTCCAAGTGTAGCACTGAAATGAATGGGCTTTCCATTTGGTTCAACTCAATTAGGATAAAAAAAAGCAAGGGTTAGGTAATTAGTTATTTACCTGTGCTATCTTCATAAACCACAGTCACTGTCTTCCATTTGTAGTACTGCACCAGGTGCAGGATGGCTCTACTGATAGACGTGTAGTCTGGATACAGATTAATGTAAAATGAGTCCTTCTGGTTTACTATGGGATGTTTCCAACGAGTCTGGATGTGTGGAACTTCCAATGCATTAGAGATAGACTGTACTGCACTGAGTGAAGAACTGTGTGATGGTCCAAACACAGAGGCTACTCCGAGAGCAAGTTGGTCACAAGCTACATAAGTGTTAAAGAAAGTTAAATTAGAAACATGACACAAAAACTCCTGCCCCTTTTGAGTTGAAAATAAAATTATTCAAACCATTCAAAATGACCAAATCAGTATTAAGGATTGAAATGTGCTACTCACCTCGTCTGGAAGCTTCAAAGCTGTCATACAGGTTAATTCTCTGTATGTCATATGTGAGTGTGGTGTTGGGCATTAATGTCCTGTTTCGGTTTATGTTGGTGACTGCAAACTTGAAGGCCATCTCTTCAACACTAATAGGCTCATTTTCTGTAGTTTCAAAAATCCCGCCTGGAAAACGAAATAGACAACACAGGGCATGAGTAAGAGCTTCAGAGTTTTACTGAGTAAAAGTGGTGTTGGTGCGCAGACAATAAAATAACAACAACAAAATTACATTTGTATAGCGCCTTTCACTTCAGGAGGATGTACCAAGGCGCTAGAAGGTCCGAGTGTACAATATTGTTTGTGAATTATTTGTTGATGAATTTCTTTTACCAGGTAAACTTATCACAGTACTTTTTATATTTTAAATATCTAAGTTCAACTAACACGCAACAATGAGAATTGGTCTGTTTTTATATACAATGTGAGGGGCTCTCTGATAAGGATGGAGTTTCCTGGTGTCCTGGCCAACACTCCACCAGATTTATTCGGTTCATAACTGTTTGTGGGACATTGCTGGGGGCAAATTGGCTGCCACATTCATTCACAAAATATAGTCACTACATTTTACAGCAATTCCTGTGAATTAAAACAGGCCCTGATATGAAAGGTGCTACATCAAATGCAAAGATTATTATAATAGTCTCAAAATTTAAAGTTGTGTGGAATTTTGGAAAACAGTCTTCAGTTTAGTATTAATTTGTAAACCAATGTTCCTTAGTTCTGTTTGGGTACTTAATGCACAATCTTAATGTTAAAACTATAGGTTAAGGCTAAGAACATTCACAATATCAAGGCATTGTATGAAGACAGCATGGTAACTTTCATTGTCTAGTTTTGCAAATGAAGAATGGCCACTAGCGTTAGCACCTGCAAGAAAGGTGCGGGGAAATATTGATGAAGGAACCAAGCTACAGGGTAATGGCAATAAACCACAAATGAACACTACATTATATAAACAAAGTCCTTCAATGGATTGTGCGCACAGTATTAGAGGGCACAATAATTAAACAACATGCAAAAGTTGCACTTAGCAATTGTTGTTTTCCTCTCGTTATTGATAAGTGGTTTAGACTCGCTCATCTGGATCAGTTAATGTAATCGATTAATACTTCTGGCAAAAGAAACTGATGAATATCCAGCAAAATGATTGAGGGCTGTAAGGTTAAGCTAGATAGACGATCAAATGCTATGAGGAACATGATGGAATATAAACTGTTGTCTTTTGGAAATGTCAGGTTAGGAAAGGAACTGGTCAAGAATGAATGATATAGGGATTAAGAGACAAATACTGTAGATATGAACCACTGGGGGAAATTGTAGAAGCTTTCCACAGAAGATTCAATGGATTGCTGAAGATTAGAGTAGCTTGCATATACCCTGTAGAAGGGAATAGTCTTCCCAAATCACAAGCAGGCGAAGTCCAGAAAAAGGACTACCGTTTTGTCGGCTTGTGATTTTCAATTTGCAGTTTTGTGCGTCTCATTGTAAAACTCACAATCCGACACTTGCAAACATGTTATAATTAGTGAACCCCTAACGTATTTTCAGTCCTGTTGTTTCTATCCACTTTCACTCTTGATGAAAAGGACTTGATGGGAGCAGAGCAGATGATCCAAAGTACTTTATGGCGAATCAGCGATCAGGTGATCCATCATTTGAATCTCCATCTTGTAGCTATGATACAAGACAGCCAAGATAAATCCAGAATTAAATTGGATTTATCTCTAATCCTTTAAAATTAATGTGCAAAACAAATGTAAAAGCTTTAAAAGTCACCCAGAGATTCTGGAAGCAGTAGGGAATGGCCTCCAAAAGACTTTGTTAGGTTAATAAGACAATACCCCTTCTTTAGATATTCAAGCAAAAACTCCAGAATACTTACCTAATCTTAATTCCTGCATTAAATTTACTTTCATTCAAACAAAAGCATGATTAGTCAGAAGGATAAGTTCTGGACTCTCATCAGTGAAAGCACTTGGGTTCATGTCATGAATATCTAGGTTTATATGAAGTTATATAGACCCTTTTATAATCATGTGAAAGATAAACTAGTTCTCTTTTGCCTTTAAACGCTGACGTAGCTCTTTATTTGCCTGCCAGCTCAGTGCAGAGCTGGCAAGGAAAATTATTCATGTTTTTGGTACCAACACAAAGCTTCAATTCTGCCACAAACCAGCCCTACGTGTTTGCTTCACAAGATAAGAATGAGCCCTACTGACAACGTCGTTTTCAAAAGCCTGAACTGTTTGTTGGGCTCTTTGAAATTTTTTTTTATCTGTACCTTGATTTAAGATTGGGGTGACTGGGAAGCAGTGAACAGCACACTGTCTAGACATTACAAATTGCATACAAGGGAGCAGAAATAAAACCTCCCCTGCTTTATTGAGAATACAATTGCTGCAAAACACATCTAATTCTTGTCACATTGCAAATGAATCTTTGTAACTTATTTACAAACTTTCAAGCGCAAATACACTCCAATTTTCCTCTACTGAGCACAGTTTCAGTGTAGCTCAATTGTTGCAGTCTCACTCTGAGTCAGAAGCTTGTGGTTCAAGTCCTACATCATGACATTGAGTTCACAGTCTAGGTTGGCATTCCAATTGAGTGCTGTGGTGTGGTGGTATTGCTGGGGGCGCTGACCTTCAGTAAGATATTAAACCAAAGTTCCATCTGTCTATTTGGAGAGTCGTTAAAGATTCAAACAGAGCAGAGAGTTTCTCCCAGTGTCCTGGTCAACAAACCCCCAGATAACACATATCAATCACTTCATTCCTGACTGTCCCGTGCCTTTGGATGTCCTCCTGATGTGAAAGGTGGTATACAAATGTAATTTGTTATTGTTGTTGTTCATAGATGTTAGTGGGATATTATCGTGTGGCTGCTGCATTCGCTTACAAATACACGTCATAGTAAAATCTTATGAAGCAATTTTTCTGTAGTTCTTACAAGAATTTACAGAAAGCCAGCTTTAAAACTAAGAATTTACTAAATTCTGAATTCTCTGAAATGCTACCTAAATAGAATAATTCTAGACCCAGGTGGACTTTACTTTTTTTATATAAAAAGTATTCCAATGATGCTGTAGGTTAAGAACATTTTTTGAAAAAATCTCCCTAATCCTATTTTGAATGTTGCCATGTCGATTGTGATTCAAAGGGTTAAACACTGTGCTTCTGCATTTGTGAACTGAACCATCTCTGCTTCCAGCACATTGGAAATATGCAATCACCTGGATAACTAAAGAACTCCACAATTCCACTGTGTGTCTTGTGAATTAGACGAACAGAACATCTGTCATCTAGGATTTCAGACTTAAGAAGGATAATGGCTTCAAGCAAGATTATTAATGAGAAACATGTCTTGGTTTAAGAGGATCCTATAATCCTGTGATTTCTGACCTAATCGAATTAGTGATTATATAAAACTTTGCAATTCATTAATGTTGAGGTTCGACAGGGATCAACCCTCTGCACATAACGATTTTCCAGTATGGCTTCCCAATTCTTAGAAGGCACAGTATTGTGGACTCACATCAATACCAGCATCCAGTAAATAATGGATAACAATTTCATTTGAATAACTACTTTACAAATGCGTGGAAAACTGACTAAGGAATACTGAAAGCTGTGCATCTGCTCTGCGTTTCACTACAAGTAAACGGATGAACAAAATCCATAAAACAAATTATACCTTTCTAGACTCTTTCATGTAAGATAAGCATCTCAAAGCACTTCAAAAGATGATAGGGATCACTGTAGCAGGGAAGAAAGAATTTGAGGGTAATGACCAAAAGATTTTGGACTCACAGAAAAAATGCAAGGCAAAGGGATTTTGAGAGAGTTCCTCAGAGTGAGGGCACAGTGGCTGAAGGCTTAGCCACCAGTGGTGGGAAATGTGTACTAGACTTCAGTTGGAAGAGTGGATTTCAATTCATTTAGTGGGACATTCATTATTCAGCAACTCAGATTTTCTGGGATAGGACTGGGCAGATTTCAACCTCAGATACAGAATATCAACCACAAACTATTCAATAGTTTTTTGGCTTAGTAACAAGTAAGGTATCTCCTAAATGTCAGTCAAAATCTAGAAGTCCAATGAGAAGGGACTGGAAATGGGGTGTGTTCACTTCTGCTATATCTATGTACAGGAAATATGTTAAATATAATGTCAAATTGAATCCCAACATGTCAATAAAGAGTGTCAATAAGAAAAAGCTCAAATGACAATGTTTTGTAGAATTCCAACAAAGCATCTAAATTAAATATGGAAATAATCATGCAAACAAAGCCTAAGTCAACATAGAATAGAACATTCACTTCTTTGTAAATTTCACAAGGACTTTTTGGACACATTACTTTGCAAAGTTCATAATACTTACTCTAAATTATTTGCTTTGCTGAGGATATGACTGAGAGCTTGCCTTCGGTATAAGAGAAAATTGCAATAATTCTAATGCACCAGTTCTGGACGGGAGCAGTAATTTACCTGGTATTGTTAAGGGGCTTATAAAGTACATTTCTGAACATTTACTGAAAGAAAACACAAGAATGTTAAAAATTGAACAGTAATTTATAGGCATAATGCCCTTTTCTTTAATATTTAGTCCTCCCCCTTGGGCTTACACCCCAAGCTCAGGTACAGACCTTTGATTGTCCAGCAACTAGGGATATCCTACTGTCTTGAAAGGTGCCATATCAAATGCAAGGTTTATTTTAGGATTATTTTGTTGCAGAGCAGTATGGGGCAGCAAAATTACTATTGGCAGTACCCCAATGCTGTTATATTGTCTCTACAGGTGTTAACAATGGAATAGCCCTCGAGCCCATTAATGAAAAAGATTAAGCATCAGGTGATGCTGTGGCAAGTACTTCCATCTGTATTAAACCTCTGGGATTTAGCTTGTGATCTCTGAACTTGTAAAGTGGCTGACTGTGAACTCGATTCTCATTAAAAGAGACCAGAGTTTACTATTAAGCCAAAGTAAATCTATACAAGTCCCCTTGTCCATTCACCTTGTGTTTTATTGTTATTTTCTTGTTTCTAGTTATGACACCCCCTTTAATCTTGGATGTAGAAGATACAAGTACATATACTCACACCTGACTCCCTCCAGCCTGTAT